TTCATCTCACCCCCGTAAGAATGGCTGTCGTTAAGAAGTCAACCAATAATAAATGCTGGCGGGGCTGTGCAGAAATAGTAACTCTTCTCCACTGCTGGTGGGAATGCAGACTGGTGCAACCACTGTGGAGATCAGCCTGGAGATTCCTCAGCAAACTAAATCTAGCGGTCCCATTCAATCTGGCTATTGCCCTTCTGGGTATTTTCCCAGAAGAACTGAAAACATCATATCACAGTGATATATGTGCACCCGTGTTTATATCAGCGAAATTTGTAATAGCTAAATCGTGGAAGCAACCCAAATGTCCATGAGCAGTGGATAAAAAAGTTGTATTTTTATATAAAGGAATATTACTCAGCTATAAATAAGATAAACTCGAGGCTTTTATAGGTAAATGGTCACAATTAGAGACCATACTCATAAGTGAAATCAATCAGACCTGCATGTGTAAACAACATACTGTCTCACCAGTGTAAGAACCTGAAAGAGTTCTTCACCAGTGTAAGAACCTGAATAAAAATTAGGAGATATGATAGACATTGTGAAACGAAAGTAAACTGGTCAGAAGTAAAGAGCAGCTGGGATGAGGGAAAAGACGAAAGAAGGGGAAATTATGTATGTATGTATATACAGGATAGCTAGCATAGTTGTACTACTGACTTCTATTGCTTTACTGAAAGGACAGTTAATGATTAATTATTTGATCAATCTTACATGTTTATATTTGTTTCCCTGAGTAACCACTTTGAAGAAATCAATATGTAATATAACAAGCATTGTTAATTTCCTATCACCTTGTCTGAGTTTTTTAGTATTGCTTGTATTGTTCTTGTGTTATTTTGTAAATGTATGTGTTTGTTAATGTTTTCTTTTTTTTATTTTTTAAAATAAAAAAAATAAAATACAAAGTGAAGTATAGAGGATTTTATAGAGTCAAAGGTAGATAGGAGACATATAAACCTGCTAGCAATGTATGAGCTTAATTTGGACCCAGAATAAGTTTTACAAGCAGAAAATGTACAGTATAATTGGAGAAGGTGAACACTAACTGGATATTTGATGTTATTAAATAATTATTGTATATGCACAGGAAACCCAAGGAAGAGATGATTATAGCCTGACTGTAGGGTTGTGAGAATATGTGCTTAAGGAATATTTGAGAGATAATACCAGTAAAGTACTTTAATGACTGACTGAACATTGGATAAAGGAGGAGTCAGGCTTCTGTCCTGAGATACTGGGTGGGCTAGAAGAAGAAATAAAGTGTAAGTTTAGTTCAGAAATGTGTATTACATGGTCAAGTGGAGATCCTAAGATGAATATTTGAGTTTGGGATACAAGAAGAGTGAAATGGGCTAGAGTGATAGGTATGAGACGTAGTTTACTGCTTGCTGGAGTGAAGTGAAATCTTACTATGGGAAGTATTGGGAATGTGGGGACGGGCAGGGAGACACCAGAACAAAACCTTGGAAAACTGCCAAGGAGAAGGAACAGAAAAGGAGATTAAAAAGGAAGCATCCAAAAAATAATGAAAACATAGGGAAAAGTTTTGTGGACTTTTAAAGGCCAAGAAAATTGAATGGTTGGTGATCTCAAGTACTTAAAATACAGGCTCACCCAGAAGATTGAAAAGATCTGTTGATCGCTGGCTATTTTAGCAAGAGCAGTTTTTGTGGGGTGGAGGGCAGAAGCCTAAGAAGAAGATTAAATGCCAAATGAGAAGTGAAAAAATAGAGGTAATGAGTTCTATAAGCAACCCTTTTAAGACAATTAGCTGTAGAGGGAAGGTGGAAAAATGAATAGTAGCTATAGTAATTCATGGGATTGAAAGTGAATAATTTTGATTTAAGGTCAAAGAGACTTGATAGTGTCTAAATGCTGGTAAACAGAGAGGGAGAAGTAGAAAGTGAAGATGAAAGAAGACAGAATCAACATGTAATTACTGAGAAGACAAGAGGAACTGTCCAGAGCACTAATGAGAATGCTGCTTCCATTGAATAGAATGGCTGTGGGAAAGTCAGAAGTTCCTGTTCAATGCCTTTACTTTTCTTTCTTTTTCTTTCCTCAGTGAAGTAGAAAGTGAGATAATACTGCTGAGAAGGAACTGAAAATTGGGAAAATCAGAGATTTGGTGGCAGTGGAGAAAGTTTAATCTCTATGGGAAAAAAGAGAAGGGGCTGTAATAAGATTGCTACATAGTGCTGCAGATCCAAGTACAGATTGTGACTACTTTGTAGAGCTGGGTCCTGTTTCTTCTAGCAGTGCCTATTAATCCAGATGTAGGTGAGCAGCAAACAGATGGACCAGTCATCTTCATAGCAGATGCCACAGGAGGACAATAAAAATACAGAATTTGATTTTAAAAAGTGATCTATCATGGCATATAGGCCTGATCAGTAAGGGTGGCTTTCTAGCAAGAGTCTGATTAATTGGAGGGACAAAGTAAAGGAGTTACTGGAGTAAAAAGTCTGGTTGTGTTAAAGACCAAAGGCAAGAGTATTACAAAGAAAAGGGTTACATACTTCCATTCCTGAATTTGTGTTGAATGGGAGAAGCAAAAGTGTAAGTTGAAAGGTTTTGGAGATAAATTGGGGATTGGTGAGACTAGGTTTGTGCTTTTTTTTTTTTTTTTTTTTTTTCATGTGTGTTTTGAGTCAGGGTCTTACCATGTAGTTCATACTATCCTTAAGTTCCCTAGCCCAGCCTGGCCTTCAACTCACAGCAACCCTCCTGCCTTAGCCTCTGAATGCTGGGATTGCATGCATGTACCACTGCACCCAGCAAGACCAGATTCTTAGATAAGCAGCTTACACATTGGTTAGCACAGCACTTCTCAAACTTTTGCATATGAGAGTCACCTACTGGTCTAGTTCTTATTCATTCTGGCTGGGTTTCTAGGAAGCTTTCTGATGGTACTAAGGCCATTTGTGCAGAGATCACATTTTGACACCACCCTCACCCTGCCCCAGACAATGCTAGGAGAGACTTGGGGATGGACTGTGAACTAGATGCCAGAGAGAGTGGTGGCCACAAGCATGTGCCCTGGGTTTAATGTTAAGATACAGTAAAGAGAAGGATGACACGTGACATCTTGAGCCTCACAAGAGCAAATGATTTCCTTCCTTGATTGTTTTAAACAAGAGTACACAGGCAAAATCTTGAAATTACACTTGGAGGTGAGGGAATCAGTGTCCTGATTTTAAGCTCATGGGAAGCATGTGAGAGAAAGATTTTTTTTCCCTATGGATCTGAAAAGGAGAGTGCTTTTTTGTAGGACTACTGCTTTACATTTTAAAACCTAAATTGTTGTGGAGGACATTCAGTAAAGAGGTGTTTGCAAATCATGGAATAGGATTTAGGACAGTCAGGTGATTGAGATTTGTGGGGCTGTGTGTACAGGGGATGGTAAATGGGACATTGAGATTTGAGAGAGGAAGAATGAGTTCAGCTGGTGTCCTAGAGGTTGGTGAACAATTGGAGAACTTAGAATTCAGCTCTTGTCAATGGAGCGTGAGTCTGATAATGTGGTGTTTAGTGCCAAGCTTGCGGTCTTTTGGGCCTAGTGGTCTATCTAATAAGCTGCAGTGAGCGCCAGGTTGCTTTGCATTGCTCAGTTCAGGAGGACTAACTGGATTGTAGTAAGAAAAGTGTGTACTGTGACATATGACCTGTTTGGTGGTATGTTACCTACAGAGTTTGAGAAAATATAAACTGTTCAGTGTTTACTTTTGCCTCCAAGAGATAACAATGTATAAGGCAGAAGTAGATTGAAATTTGCTAGAGCTCTCTAAGATAAAAATGACCATGACAGCTTTGATTATATATATTTCATGGAATATCGAAAACCTGCTTTTCAGTAAAACTACTATAGAGTAAAGCAGAGAACTAAAAGCTTGCCGAAATTAGCAAAATTGTTAATTTTTTTCTGTGAGATAATTGTATGGATTTTGTGTAAATATTTGACTGTTTCTCATTGAAATCCCACATCACATTAGCCACGTCACAGAAGTTGTTAATTTGCATTAGTCAAGGATACCAGTTGTGATTTATTCTAGTAATGTTTCTTTATAGTGTTTTTAATATTGGCTCTCAAAGTTTTTTGGCCTTTGTTTTTAGTTTCAGAAACCACTAATGATTCAACAATAGATGATGTGGTTGAAAATCATGTTGCAGACCAACTTTCACCAGATATTACACCAAATGCTATGGATACTGAATTTTCACCATCTTCTCCAGCCAGTTTACTGGAGCGACCAACCAATCATACAGAGGCTTTTGGTCATGACCATTTAGGAACTAACGACCTCACTGTTGGCGGGTTTTTAGAAAATCATGAGGAGCCAAGAGATAAAGAACAATGTGCTGAAGAGAATATACCAGCATCTTCACTCAACAAGGGAAAAAAATTAATGCATTGCAGAAGCCACGAAGAGATCAATACTGAACTAAAAGCACAAATAATGAAAGAGATCCGAAAGCCAGGACGAAGTATGTATACTTAAGGGACAAACTTCAGATTTAATTTCTCTGTGTGCCCAAAAAATCAAAAGCAAGTCAACTAAAAATGTAGATCTGATTTGAGATAGTCTTGCATAATATCTCAGCTAAATGTGATTGTTTATTCAGTTTGCAAATAATATCTACTATATTCTAGTTACCTAGGGTACTAGGTATGATGGGCAGCCAAGACTGAGAGCCAAGGAAAACAATACAAATAATTGTATATATAAATATATTTCCTACCATGTCAGGAATTGAGTCTTGAGTATTCTTTGAACCAGCAATTGGAATTTTAATATAGCAGCTAACCCAGAAACATACAGTGAATGTTAAATAACTTCATGTCTGTAATGTTCTTGCTATTGTGCCTACTACTGTGTTTAAGGTTTAAAGTATGGTAGTGACCAAGGATATATCCAGGCCAAAAAATAAAGTTATGAAAGGCTCTGGGGGAGAAGTTTTGAGTGTTAATTGGCATTCTTTCAGAAGATGTTAGCAGATTACCAACCTCAGTGGTACAGTGACCTGTAGGTGGTCCAGAAGTAGGTAAGAGTCAGACCTTAGCAGAGTTGTAGGTGAAAATTTGAAATAGCATCCTTAAGCTGTGTTGTTTGTGTGTGTCCGGCCCCCGCCACCACCTCCATTCTCCATGACCACCACTGTGTTAGTTGTAGTTTAGAATTTAAATAAGGATAAATTTTTGTGAAGGCCACTAACTGCTTATTTTTCAGCAGAGCTACTAAAAACTGCTTTACTCATCCTTTTAAACTTTATGTTTGATACCTCATTGGGAACTTTAGCCAAAAAAAGCAGTGTTTGACAAGTTGTTTAATCTTTGCTGATATATATTTTTTCACATATGTATGTTGAAATGTAGTATAAAATCTTAAAGAATGGTAACGTTTTTACGTAGAATGCTTTCATTGCACTGTATCTTGATATAAAAACTGTGAGAGAAAAATATTGAATAAGAGTACAAATGAAAGTCACTTACTTTTTTTCTTTTTGTGCTTCTCTTGTTTTAAGAATATGAAAAAATCTTCGCTTTACTGAAGCATGTGCAAGGCAGTTTACAAACAAGGCTAGTATTTTTACAAAATGTCATTAAAGAAGCATCAAGGTAAATAAACTAACTTTTGTATGCTATGAACTGGTGATGAAATGAGTTTCCAATTTATCTATAGGCAGTATTTTAACAATATCTGTTATACACCTGTGTTGTTTATTCATACACATGACACACAAAGATATATGTATACTTACTAGTTTATTCGAAAAAATTCACTTAAAATATTGCCACACACTAATTCTTCAGGAATTAGGACTTTTTCTCTGTGCAAATTACTGGAAATGTTCAAAATTGTTGTTTACCCTTCATTATAGCTTTTTGGTGTCTTACAGCCTATAATTTTTAGCCCTGTTCAATAGCTTAGGGTTATATTCTTTACTACAAGGAATATGAATCAAAATTATAAATCTAAAAAGTTCAGTTAATTGGGAAGCATAGTTGTAGAAGTTCAAAAGCATGTTTTATTTGTCAAGGTTTAAATTTTATTCTTATAAGGAAACTTAGCGGTTATTTCATCTGACTTTCCAAACGTAAACATACCCATTAACTAGTCTGCTATCATCCATGCCATATGTAAAGGTTTTAGCTCAGTTGTTTTTTTTGAGTAGCTAGAGCATGGTCTCCTTTGAAGGATTAAGATAAGGCCATAAATTTCACATAGTTTTGAACATTTAACCTATTCTGTTCTTTATGATAATACCTTCTGTGTTTTGGTCAGCTCAAACCTCATCCTGGATTTAGCAGGATAGTACTCCTGCCAGTTTTTCAAAGAGATGTATAATATGGTAGCTATTCATGTTATTTTATAAGTAGAGAAGAAATAGGAGTAGCATGTCCAGTGTTTTGTTATTCTAAAGAGCATTAGTGCTATTAATATTTATATAGATGAATGTAGTTTTGTCTTACCTATCTTTATTTTGAAAAAAATTTTAAGATTTACCACTTGAACTTTATTTGCTATTACCTATGTTACAGGTATCTGTTCTTCGATTTGTTAGCTTTTAAGTTGTAGTCGTAGACATGGACTTTAAATCCTACTGCTCAGTTTTCATTTTCCTTTTCATTTTGTGAAGACTGATATTCATACATTGTTCACATTCCTTTCAACATTCAACTTTGAAAGGACTTGAGAAGATATTGCAATAATTACTCTGGGATCCCAGATCTGAGTATTTGGAATCCTTGTATGTGTTAGATGCACTCTCTTTTTCTCCTCTTTGGCTAGGAGAGGAATAACCCCTTTCCCATTGTCTGTAGGACTAGCTTATCTGTTTTAAGGACAAACTGTGATACTGTTTTATACAAACAATAATTTGTAAATCTTCCAATAGATTTTATGTTTGTAGAGTGTTGATTTCCATTTCCAGTGTAGCATGCATGCAGCCCTGGACATCTAAGGGGCATCACAGGCCTGTTATTGCTCAATCTCGGGTGGCTGAATGACTCTTGATTTTTCATGTCCATTCCACTTTGAAAAATTTTCCCAGAGCAAGTGTTTTTATATTTTAAACATTATGTTGGTATATACTAAACATTAAAAAGTAATTGAGAGTGATATTATTTATTTTTTCATACAGGTTTAAAAAACGAATGCTAATAGAACAACTGGAGAACTTCTTGGATGAAATTCATCGAAGAGCCAATCAAATCAACCATATTAATAGCAATTAAACAAAAATAGAATGTGGCCACTTATTTCACTATCTTCTCCAAATACAAAGTAAATACAAGACTGTTGTGATCTTGCATTCATTTTTGACATGCATTGTTGGATATTTGAAATACTAAAAGCAAGTCTACAGATCCTTTGTCCATCATTTTACAGTGACCTTTTCTTCATTTTGGTTTATTTTTGTAATGTGAAGAAGTATCAGTCTAAAAAACATTTTTATTTAACAAACTAAAAATATTCCTTCAAATCTCTTGCTTGTCATTGACTCTGCGTGTCAATTTCCCTCAGGTTCTATTTTCTTAACCAACCTTTAAATTGTCACCTCTGTTAAGGTTGAACTTTGCCAAAAAAAATTAAAAAGTTACTTTGAATTTTTGGGGAAAAAAGCACATACATTAAAACTAGGTAATGTTTTGTATATACAGTTATTTTGGATATATTATTGTAAGTTGTACAAATGTATTTTGAAGAATATTTAAGAAAAGCACTTTTGTTATCCCATCAATAAATGCTCTATTTTACTCTTGTGTGGTTTAGGAAATAATCACATTTAAAGTAATCACTTAAAAACGTCTAAGTAATGGAATTTTAAAGGCCTTTTTAGCATTGGAAAATACATCACTTGAAGTTCATATTTGTTAACCCTAACTGTAATTACATGTTACATAATCTGCATTGTCTTTTTACTATATGTTCATAGTATTTGTTGGCCATGCCAACGTACTCCCATTTCTGCTTGAATAATTAGAATGGCTATGCCTGCGGCAGATAGGCAGATACAAAGAGGACGATTTGGGATATTATTATTTTATACCTCCAACCCCATTTCCTTTCTCAGTAGGATTGTGTGTGGCACTAAGTTGAGGTCATTAGTTAGGAAGTATTAAATTTGGGGTACACTACATATGCTGAAGTGTCTACTAGCCTTTAACAGTTTGGTACCAAACCATGTTTATAAAAGCCTACAACTCATTAAGGATTTAGAGGGGTATCAGGGGGATCTCTTCATTCTGCTTCTGTCACTTAAACTCCCAAGTTTATTGAGACGCTTAATAGAATGGAGCTGAATGTAAGACAACTTTGTTCATTTTGCATTTTCTGAGTTACACAGAATGAGGAAAACCAAAACCATTTCCACCCTTCAGTCCAATGTGACTTTATGATCCTATTACCTGACTTATTCTCTATTCATAGATCACTGCTGTGCCTTTTAGTGGCTTGAGGGGTAACCAGTAGATTAACATTTATACAATAGATTTGGATTAAGAGAAGGTAAAATGAACTTAAAAAATTATAATAAAATTGAAGTATTTTTAGTTTGATAATACTTGAAAATCATATACCCTTTTTACACTTTATCAAAACATTTTTTAAATTGCAAGGGTATAGCAAAATGAAATTAATTTTTTTATGAAGAAAAGCATACATGAAAGTGGAGAACATTCTTTAAATCTGCTAATTTAGTCCAGGGGATTTGAAACTCTCCCAATACTGAAGACAAACCCTGTCAAGAAAAAGAAGCATTTAATATAACATTATATAGTATTTTCATATGCTTTTAAAAAATATATATTAAGCCTTTTTTACCTCCACAAAATACCTTCCAAGACGGAATTATTAAAGTAATTGTCTGCAGTCACATTGCTAAATTCAGCAAGAACTACACAAAATCATAAATATACTGTCTGGCTTTAAATTTTTTGTGTTTAGATTTTGAGATTAATAGAAGGTATTAGAAGCCATTCAGATAGAAGTTCATACTTAGGAATATCTAAGAAAAAGGTTGCTCTAGTAGCTTTCTTTATCAGAAAGTTGTTTCCATTTCAGATCCTCATAAAGTAATAATCTTTACGCCACTTACATTCAATACAGTTTTCAGTGTGAACTCTAAGGACGTTGGAAAGTAGCACTTTGTTCTGTCTCTACTTTTCATCTTTTAATCTCTCTGCCTCAGTCCTTTATATAGCGTCATCCCAAAACCTAGTCACAAGATTTAAAGCCCATCAAAACTAAAGTTTTACATCCCATCTTTCTTAAGCTTTTTGCATTTTCAGAAACTGTGGACATGTTAATTAGAGAAATACTTGCTATAGAATTCTTGTCACTAAAGGGGAGGGAGACTATACCTGGGGGTAGTATCTTGTCTTTTGGGCCCTTTAGATCACTAAATGATCTTAGGCCAGACAAATAATATTTTTTGAAAGGTTAATCTCAAGATTTTTAGGTCATTTTTCTTAATGATCCAACATTCCATTTGTCAACTGATTGATGCATGAGTTGCTCTTATCCAGTAAGAGTTGTCATTTGGAGTGGTGAAGGCTGAAACTCACTTCTCATTTCTTGAGTCACCACCATCAGTAGCCATTTTGCTTGGTAGGAGGTGGGCCAGTGCCTCACAGAAAGGGAGGTAAATACATTCGCAAAGACTTAGCTCTGTGGTGAATTATGGAACTGATTGTGAACTAACCTTGTATTTTCATCTTCATTACTAAGGCAATTCTGAAAACCCATAGCATTGACATAGTGGTATATCCTTTCCTAGTTCAAGTATATTACATTTTTATGCAGTTGAATTTTAAAAATACTCTTTCTCTTACAACAACTTTTATTGGTTATCAGCTTTTGGTAATGATCTTTCTATTCAAGGTTAGTCCTATCTCTTGGTTTCTTGAGAGAGTAGGCTGTCATTTTTTTCATCTTCCTTTTTTTGATGTGTAATTCTAAGAGAAAACTCTGCTGTGTGTTCTGAGTGATAAGTCATATTTTCATCTAATCACAGTGGGACTGGGATGATCATGGTGAAATATATTAAGTGGATATATTCTGTTGATGGTTTTTTCTGCCGAATAATCCCCTAATAGGTTATTTTTGAGTAAACAATTATCTTCATCCTTTTTTGTCACAAGAAATGTTCCTTTGATTTCTAGCACACGTTATAGCAGTATGCAAATGATTCTCAGATAAAATGATGTTGACAGTATTTCCTTAACAATTTGTGTAAAGCTATGCGTAATTTTCATAATTCTAACTTTTGAATTTTTTCTCTCCATAAATAAAAGTAATGCCTGATGTTTAGTTAAAGTAGATCCACCTTTGCTTGATTTTATTAGTCTTGTTCCATCCTATTTTTATTACACTGTAGATTGCCAACAACTCTTTACTGAGAATCTCTTTCTTCCTAGGCTAATAAATGTTGGGGAGGAGAAACATTAGGAGAAATAACTTAAGGTTGTATTCAACGTTGTTGAAGCTTAAAGGACATCTGTTCGTCTTTCTGATGTGCTAAAATAAGGCTTTGCCTGTACCAAACCAAACCATCTTTGGATTGAGATAAATTTGTACAGTGAGGCATAATGTACTAAGATACATATTGGATTTTTGAGAAAGAACAGTATAGAAATCCAAGTGTATTCACCAGAAATACTGGAGTCAATGAGAGTCACTGGAGGACTTCCCTAATACACTTCAGTGGTCTGAAGAAACTTCCTTTCTTTCCTGAGATGACAAGAAAGGGAACGAACTGGGGGACAAGGGAGGCAAGATTTAAGGCTGTGAGTATAATGTAGCTCAGTGGTAGAGTGCTTACCTAGCATGCCCTAGACCCTGGGTTCAATTCCCAGCACCGCTGGGGGAAAAAAAGAAAGGCAAGATGTATAATTTATTTTACTTCCATGATTTTTCTAAGTCCAGAATTAGCAATCTGAATTTTTAAAAAATTACTACAAAGCAGCTAAGCACAGAAACAGGCATAAAACAAGGAGCATAATAGTTTCCTTTATATGTGAAACAGTCCCCATTCTCAGGATATAAGCAGCTGAAAGGCTTCTGAAACACCATAGAGACAGCTAGAAGGAATGCCTGTAGGGAACAAATAGGCCCTTGTTGTTAGACAGATACTGCTAAATAATTATCTGAATCTTATCAAAATCTGTAATACCTGTGCTGGGTTCTCTCAGGAAAAAGAGGAATGGCCGGTTTGCTTTAAAAACAGGAATCCGAGACCTTTTCAGCAACAACAGAGCTGCAATAAAGATAGAGTAGAAGAATTGCATTCTACTTTCTATTTACATAAAATCATTATTTAAATTAGATAGTTTTAAGAATTCAAAGCATCCTAGTGACATTTCCTTGTTTAGTAATTATGATGGGGGTGCAAGTGGGGAAAACAAGAGCAAAGATAACCACTTCAGCTGTCTGTCTTTTCAAAAGTCTGGAATAAATTCCTTACTAAAGGTAATTTTCAGAATAATTCTATTTCTGGGAAGTATGGGGTAATGTTACAAATCCTTTTTAAAATGGGTGTCTTTTCATTTTTCAGAAAGTTTGTTTTCTGTTAACATTTTTAAAAATGTTATACCACATCTGGTCTTGGGGTCATAAATGGAAAGGCTTGAAACTCAAGATTTAGTTGAATAAATTGAACAAAGGCACATACAGTCAAGCGACATGACCAGGTGTGTATACTCATTCTGAACATACCTGTGGCTGCAGATGCCTTAGTTCCTTCTTCTGAAACCGCCATCATGGCCTTGTGGATTGCTTCAGAAACGTAAAAGCCATCCTGGCCTAGCCTCAGGAAATGACAAAAAAGGTGAATTGCTCATTTATATTTTTCTATGTATCAAGTATAAGGATTTGTGTACATTTTTAAAGAGCAGTCTATAAAATAGTATCCAGTACTGCCTTCTATATAATAGGGAGAGATCATTTAGTAAATTCTCAAGTTCCTATATTTTTATGTGACTTTCAAAACCTCAGTTTGCTGAATTTATCTAATAACCCCCAGACTAATATTCAATCACTTTTCCAAGTTTTTCAGTAATTTTCAAAACTTACTCCTAGTTACATTAAAATGTTCAGGCAATACTTCTAAAACTTACATAGTTACAAGAATCACTAGGGTGGGTTAAAAGGCAGATTCAATAGCCCAGTAATCATTTTCAGCAAACTTTTGAATGGTTTCCCTTGAATGCTTTTTTGGACTGCATTTAAGATCAACTTTTAAGTAATAAAGTCACAGGTTTGTAACAAGCTTTAGGATGCATAACTTGGTATATTCATAATGTGTCTAATGTTGCATGACTGCATAATTAGTTATGTAATTAGCTTGCCTTCGCTAGAATCTGCAAAGAAAATGAAAGGTAACATTCTGTGCACTAACAGTTGCAAGATACAAGCCTAACAAATAGGATTGTGAGTGGTATCAGATTTTTAACCATTAACCATTTTTAAACAGTTCTCCAAATAAGAAATGGTATTTGAGAATACAACAAAAAAAGCATCTTTAGAATTACAAGAAACTTTAGAAATTGACCATTTCAGTTTTCATTTTCGAGGAGCCTGTTATGTCATCTGAGATCACATATCTGGTAGGCAGAGTTGGAAATACAGTATTATAGGTTTTTGGACCCAAAGCCCGTTTCCACCCCAATCCTCTACTCAAGCATTACATCTTGCAGGAAGTGCGCCCTAGCCACCTGAAAAGGATCTGTAGCCTGAGTATTAGAATGATTTTGATGTATATATTTCAAGGAAGCTTTGTTTACTTCAGTTATGCACATGAAAGGAGGTGGTCTGTGGATCTTCTAACATAAAACCAGCCCAGAATACAGAATAGGTAGCAATCTATCCATCTTGTAATTAAAATCTGCACAGGATATTGTGAGTTGGCTATATTCACTGTAAGGAACAATGATTTCCAAGCATCGGGAACGGGATAGGAAAGGGCCAGAAGAAGGGAAAAACATCTGTGGAAACAATTACTTGGTACTAGCAGTTGGTTTTTGAGATAAACAAATTTCCCTGTCAAGAATTAGCCCCTCCCACCAGGCATGGTGGCACATGCCTATAATCCCCACTCTCGTCAGACTGAGCAGAAGGATTGCCGTGAGTTTGAGGCCTGGCTGGGCTGCATACTGAGTTCAAGGCCAGTCTGAACTATATAGCAAGACCCTAGCTCAAAAGAAAATTAGCCTACCAGCTCACTGAGCAAACGCAGTACCAAATTAATGAGTGAAGTTCTTTGACAGTCATGAGCAGGTTTGCCTATCTCTGACTTCATTACTATCTTCAGGAAAATAGATCGGGTGTTATAGTGTTGAGTGAGTTTCATTTATGTAGCTTTTCTCCATCAGACTTCAGGAATGGCACAGTAACGAAACTTTGTGTTTATTCAGCCATAAACCAAGACTCATGCCCCAGCATTGGCCTCTCATATATTCTATCTCTTTACAAAAGATCAACATTTGTTATAACGTGAGAATTTGGGAGTTTGCATTTTTCCTTTGATCTTACAGATTCCTTGCTTTCGTTAAGTAGCTGTTGAAATGTTATGCAACTAATGAAAAACAGCCTAGAAATCTGGACAGGAAGGGGCTCTGGCTTTTTTGTCCTATGGCGTTGCCAGCTTCCTAGTGCCACTGAAAGTCATCGAACTTGGTTTCATGAAATTTGCTCTCAAGATGGTTTATCAGTTCCATGATTAATTGTGAGAAATGTGGGTTGAATTTTACAGTTTCACTTTAAGTAGGGAACTTTTCAGAGCTGTTGATTTGCTAATGTTCACAGGAGAAACACTACATTGCGTCAAGTGGTGAAACCTTCCACACTTATCTCCTGTTCCCTTTTACCAAATTAGCGTTTGGAGAATATACTTGGGGAAACTGTGGCCCACTATAAACCTGTTTGTCCTATATTACATTTTAATATCCACAGCAAAGTGGAAGGATTCTTCCTACCCTCCCTCCCAGCACACTCTCCATTCTTCTTCTGTAACATCTACAGGTGCTTAGTATTCCTTCTTTAGATAGTTATGAAGGGCAAAAAAGATGTATTCATTTTAAATATTTCTTCGCCTGAAATATGCTTGGCATGTATATGTGTTCAGTAAGTGCTGGATGAAATAGTCGTCATCCCTTACCCCTTTTCCCATAAGACAAGCTCACTTTATAAGGAGATGTTTAGTGTGTAAAACCACAAGGCACTGCAAAGGTTGTTTGGCAAGTGTGTGTCAGGTAATTCATTCCTGCATCCACTTTGTTGGTGGAGGCCATTATTCTCTCATTATGGTTGGTCATACTCGCATGCTTTTGATTCTTCATAACTTGACATTGTGTAAACACAAGATTTGTAAAACATACGTCATTGTTTCTACATTTCAATCTCAGCTCATCGAGTAGGATAAGCATACTATTGCCTGTTTCTTTTGTCTTTCCAGTTACTATCATCTACTTTTGGCAGAATTAGTGGCTTTTGAAGTTTATCCCAGAACTTGCTTCTAGCTTATCTTTCTCATTCTGTCACTTCCTTATGAAGAGTTGGATCGTGCGTGTATGTGTGTGATAGCAGCAGCCTAGCACATAAAGAGAAAGTGCTAAAGGAATCTAAGATACCTTAAGCCTAAGTTGTGGTTATTTGCTCTCTATTTGTCTTCCCCTTTTTTGTGCAGCTCACCAGATGGCTGGTGCAAATCTAAGTTAACTTACGTACTCTGGATGGTTTGCTCATCAAAGTCATGCTATCAAGAGCTTGTACTGCTTACTGAGCAGAGATGAGAAACTGATTATCACATAAAATCAAAAGAACAAGATAGCTTCTTCACTTTCAAGTTTATGCACAAGGAGTGTTTCCTGGGACTAAGGGGCATGGGTCTGTACCAAAGCTTGTTAATCCTTGAAGGAATTAGGGTTGGTGTGAGTGGCACTGGAATTACTCTTAAAAGCTTTGTAACATCTAGCGTCAAATATACTGGGGGGAAATTATACCTTGGATTTAGCTGAATCTTGAAGTTATATGGAGTGAGTTCATTAAGGAGGAAGACAAATGACTTAGAGAAGGGGAGCTTATGTAAAAAGATTCTTTGCTTTGGGATGAAATGGGAAGAAAATGCTAAATGTTCCCTGTGATCACTGGGCTTCAATCAGTACCACAGAACTGCCTGGGAGCTGCTTGATAACTGAGGGCTTCAAGGCTGACATTTTCTGGTTGCATCATCTTCATTACACACTACTCTCAATGATGTGCTGTGTATTACAGTCTTTTCATTTCTACAGTTAAGAAGTAGGTGGGTGGTGGCTACCCTTGTTTTAGGAATGAGGAAACTGTTTCTTGGGGGAGATTCAGTGCCCTTGTCTCCGGAATAAAGCCAGAAGCCTGCATGGGTGCAGACATGACTATTATCTTAATTAAAGAAGGGTACTGGAAAACAATACCATAGTCAGCAAATTTTTTTCCATAAAGAGCCTGATACTAAAATACATGCCATTGCCAGCCTTATGGTATCTGTCCCAATGACTCAACTCCGCTGTTGTTGTAACAAAGCAGGCACAATGATTTGTAAATGAATGGGGTTGTTTCAATAATATTTTATTTACAAAAACAGGTAGTGACCATTATTTGCTGACTGCTGTTCTAAAGGAACAAAACTTTATGGGAAAAGGTTAGAAGGAGGCTAACGTGTCTTAGCAGTAGGAAACATGAATACAAGCTTCACATTTGGCACATGGAAGTTACTGGATAATTAAATTATTAAGCCATATGTCTGTGCCTATATTTCTGTTGGTTTGAACAAATGTAAGTATACTTGAACTGCATTAGAAAAAAAGGCAAGGTCTCCAAAAAGGTATGAAAGTAGTGGCTTAATAGATCTTGTCAGAGAGGCTTATATCTTTACCAACAGAGGGAGGTTAAGCTCAGTCCCATTAGGACAGAATTGATGGCATTGATGGGGGTTAAACAGTCTTGTTTGAGGGCACAGAATTTACGTCCTTTCTAGGACATATAGGGAGAAAGATTTAAGAGTTGGAAAGGAACACTCAGCCATGGTGATTAATTGAATATAGTGGTGTACAAGGAGAGGTCAAGAATGACCCTAAAGGTTAGTTTGGTTTTTTCTTGCTCATGTTGGAGATTAAACCCAGGGCCCTAAAGTTTTGAACTTAGATGATTAAATGCTGATATCATCCATAACTAAGCTCTGGGGCAGTATGATTAGACTTTGCACACTATTGAAGGTAAATACACTTAATTCCTCATTTTTTGCCCTCTGATATTTTCACTGTAGTAGCTGTAGTAGCATTCCTGTATGTAGCATTCTGATATTTTCACTGTAGTAGCATTCCTTTCCCTGCAGGGTTAGATTATGCCTGTGTAACTAAGGAAAATTCCTGGTCAAGTTTTCAATGAAGTCAATATTCATTAGGTATCCAGCTGTATGCTAAGCGTTGACTTGGGCATGCGACCAAGTGGATTTTTTATTTTCATTTTTCATTAAAAAAAATTTTTTTTCAGTGTTGGGAGCTGAATCTAGGACTTCATGTATGCTAGGCAAGCACTCTACCATGGAACTACCTCAGCCCAGAGATGGTGGGCTTTTGATACTCTCTAGTATTCTGTGTTTCTGTTGATAAATAACTGCCAGTCAGTCTGTTTGGGCACATGTAAAGCCTATGCCCAGTCTTGTTAGATCAAATTCACATTATTTCTATGATTACTTATGAAGAAAGATTCTCAACAAAGCTTTAGAAAACTTCCCTGTGTTGTGATGGTCTAATATTCAAAATAGTGATTTTCAAGTTCTTAAGGTGGGAATGTCAAGGCCAACGAACATGCCTGCTAGTGTGTCCTCTGCACACAGATAATTTACTATCCATAGCGCAAACAAACCTGACCTTTGAGTTGGCAGTAGTTTGGCTGATGGTCTCCTGAGAGGATTCTGAACGTAGGTTCTGGCATTCTACTCCCTTTTATATTTGATGTAATTTCAGAGCACAGGGAAACATAACCCTTATTCACTGTTAGTAGTATGTTAACCACAGACAGAAATTCAGTGCTGATGGGGGAAGGAGAATATTCTAGAGCAACATTACAAGAGCATGTGTCATCTGAGGAAAGTAAATTGGATAGATGAGGAGAAGTTGAAGCTGTTCGTTGGGAGAGGACAGAAGAGGTACAGGGAGTGGAGAAGTGAGAGGAGGCAGAAACAGGGTGATTGGCTTGACAGCAGCAAGGCAGAATGAAGAATTCTGTCGCTGCAGTGTTACTGGGAGGGCCTTGATCATGACTTGAGAGCAAAGGAAGGGGGGAGTTTATTGTGTCATATGGCCACTGACTTCCCTCTGAGAACCACGCTGAAGGGTCTGAAGAAACATCCTTTCTCCAGGGTTAACCTAAATTTAACTATCACAAACAATGAATTCTTACTTCAAGCAATCACTGTCTTTATTCTTTTACACAGGTTTGACTCTACCACCAAAAGGAATAAAGAAAACTCTTTAATTGGTATAACAAAACTATCCCGAACATAGTGTCAAATATCTTAGAAGGAGAATTGTTACCTGAAATTCCTTTCAAGTTTGCTTTGAGTGGATCAAAAAGATCGGTAACTCCCCAAGACCTTAAGATGCTTTTTAAGTTGAATTGATTTTGGATTCTGAATCTAAAAAAGCAAAAGCATACCATCAAATTTCACATAGAATTCCCACTTACTATACTTTCATACTCGCCACATAATGTGAAAACTTCTAACTTGGGAGATAGGGGCCCCCAGATTCTGTCCCAGGATTTCTTACATTGCTTCTTCCCATAAGCCTTCCATCTTGACTAATTTGATTACCCACAGGTCTTGTCCACCTCTGGACCTTTGCACATGCTCTTTGTTCTGTATTTCCTTGACTGCCAATGAATGATTATCCTAAACTGACACTCACTCACCTCTGCAGCTATTTTGTGACTTTTGGCTCTTAAAGCCCCACTAGCACTTGTTCTACTCTTAAATGTACAGACCATCATACTCCATATGACCATTGTTTATGATATTATAAACTACTTAAGAAGAGAGGTTATCTGGTTCCATTTTCACCTCAGAAAGTCCTTAGGTTGTGCTAGGCACTATGATAAGAGCTTTATATGGATTACCTCATTTCTTCTTCATATTACCATGCTATTATTATCCTCATGTTGCAGGTGGGAAAGCTGAGGCTTTAAGGATTAAGACATGTGCCCAAGATGACCTAGTGATAAATAAAATGGTGGGCTTCAATTCAAATCTAGGCTGTAGAGTACAGAGCCCAGGCCCTGATCGTTTGCACTTTGCCACCTCATATTTCAAGCAGCATCACACACGTCGTAGGGGGGAAAAGAAGTTGTGACTAGTTGACAATAACAGAGTCTTGTTAATGTGCTTGTATTGGATGGACATATTTTCATGTTTACCTTGTGCCTTGAACACACAGCAGAAGGAATGCAACTGTGGTTTTCCTGTAGGTCCATATGAGCAGAAAGTATGAATGCACCACCTTTACAGTGTTTCCCAAGGGCAGGGCATTTCAAAATTGACTGCTGAAGTGTCCTTAGAATGGGCTACTGATACTATTTTTCTTTGAAAATAAAGAAGTTGAAAATGGAATTACATGGTCTTTTTCTATAAACCAAGCAGAACTTGCAGGACAGTGAAAATAATGGACAAGACCATTTAATATCAAAGATCTTCATTACCATGCAAGTCAGTGTGGCCAATTCTTTGTAAAGCATCAGACTTTCTCATAAAATATATTTTAGATTTTGAAAATACTTTGCAAAAAAAGCACATGCGTTCTCCACGTATGCTGACATTTTTCACATTTTCCTAAATACTGTAAATATGAAAACTAAACACTAGGACATAGTAATTGAGAGTATGAACCTGGGAACCCAGGTGCCTGGGTTTTGAAACCTGGCTCAACCTCTTAATAGCAGAGGAATTTGTTACTTTACCTCTGGGGAGTTACATGACCCACCTTTGCCTCAGTGTCCTTATTTGTGAAGTGAGCATAATAGTGTTTTTTTTGTAGGGGTGTGAAGATGAACAGGACAATGTTTAGCACAGCTTACACACTTACTGTTATCACTGTGATTTTCTTGTTGTTTCTCAATGATACTGAGAAAGAGTAACGGACTATTTAAAACCAAAGGTAGGGCCAGGGATATACCTCAGGCTGGAAAGCACAAGGTCCTGAGTTCGATTCCTGGTACCAAAAAAATAAAATAAAATAAAACCAAAGGTAGTGATTCTGGTGGATGATAAAATGGAATAATGCCATTTTTAGTAAATTAAAAATAGCAAAAGTAAAATATGACTATAAAAGATAGGAGTAATCTTCATGACTGACCCAGAAGAAAGACTGCAATAATAGCTTGAGTAGAAAAACAAACAAACAAACAAACCTACCTGTTTCAAAACCAGAGAAGGATATCACAAGAAAACTACAGACCAACATCCTTTATGAGTATAGCTATAAAATCCTTAATTAGCAAATTGAATTCAGCATCATATAAATCCCACCACAACTAAGTGAAACTTAGCCCAGGATGTAAGGTGGGTTCAATATATGAAAATCAATTAAGATAACACATTAATAGACTAAGAACAGAGATCACACTATTATCCCCATAGATACAGAAAGGGATTGTGACAAAATCCAGCACCTTTTAATGATGGAAAACAAGCATCAAATACTCAACCAATTTGGGATATAAGATAACTTTACTTGATGAAAGGTATCCATAAAATCCCCACAGCTCACATCATACTTGTAGTAAAAGCCTGAAAGCTGTCCCTCTAAGATCAGGAACAAGATAAGGATGCCCACTGTTATTTCACATTTTACGGGAGGTGGGTAAGACAATTGCATAAAAAAAGAAATAGAAGACACCCAGATTAGAAAGGAAGAAGTAAATACATCTCTGATCACAGATGACTTGGTCTTATATATATATAGGAAACTAAAGAATACACAAAAAACCTATTAGTGTAATGAATAAGTTTGTCAAGGTGACAGAATATAAAACCAAGATATAAAAATAAACTGTTTCTAAACCCTACCAATGAACAATGTGAAAATAAAATTGAGAAAGCCCATTTACAGTAATATCGAAAGGAACAAAATACTTAGAAATAATTTAACAAAAGTATAAGACTTACACAGTAAAAACTATAAAACATTACTGAAAGAAAAAAAACTAAATGAAGGACATCCTGAGTTCAAGACTTGTAACACTTATTTTGTTAGACAGCAAAAATCCCCAAATTGTTTTACAGATTCAAAACAAATCCTGTCTAAATCTCACTACCTTTTTAGCAGAAATTAGTAAACTGATCGTGAAACTTATATGGTAATGCAAGGGACCAAGAGAAGCTTGAAAAGAAAAAAAGTGGAAGGACTCACACATCCTGATTTCCAAATGTATCAACTGTAGTAATCAAGACCATTTGAGGGGGCTGGGGATTTAGCTCAGCGGTACAGCGCCTGCCTGGCAAGCGCAAGGTTGTGAGTTCGATTCCCAGTACCGGAAAAAAAACAAAAAGAAACAAAAAAGACCATTTGATATTGGTAAAAGTGCGCCCACAGAATAGAATTGAGGGACTAGAAATAAACTTGTATATTTGGCACTTGGTTTTGACAATGATGCCAAGAAAATTTAGAGAAGAAAACAAGAGTCTTGTCAACAAATGGAGTCAGGATGAATAGTGACAACCAAAAGAGTGAAGTTGGACCTCTACTTATACCATGTACAACTGACCCTTAAACTACATGGGCTTAACCTGCATGGATCCACTTACATGTGGATTTTTAAAAAGTTGTGACAATGTAGAAGAACTTGCAGTAAACCTTGTAGCCTAGAAATAGCAAAAAATTAAGGAAAAGATACATAATGAATCCATAAATATATGTAGATTATAGTCTACTTTATTATTTACTACCATAATATATACACTAATCTATAAGCAAAAGTTAAAATCTTTCAAGACTCACAAACACACTTACAAACTACTGCACTTGGGGCCATTTTCAGACCAGAGAAATATAAACACAGGTAAGGATGTAGTATAAAATGCAAACTACGCAAATTCACCATAGGCATCATTGTCAAAACCATATAAAATGCAAACTATGCAAATTCACCTTACTATATACTATAGTGATAACTTTGTAGCCACATCTTGTTGCTACTGTGGGGAGAGTGATTGTTGTGAATATCTGCTTTGAATTGAGTGCCCAGCATTGTGGTGCATCCGTGTAACGAAGGCTGAGGCAGGAGGACGGCAAGTCTAAGTTCAGCCTGGGCAAGTTAGTGTCTTAGCAAGACCTTGTCTCAAAATAAAAAGGTTTAGGATGTAGCTCAGTACAAAGGCCTTGGGTTCAATCTCCAGTTCTGCAAAACAAACAAATAAACAAAAATAAGAAAAAAGAGGGGCTGGGGATTTAGCTCAGAGGCACAGCGCCTGCCTGGCAAGCGTAAGGTCGTGAGTTCGATTCCTGATACCAGAAAAAAAAAAAAAAAAAAGAAATACAAGATGGAACACTGATCATGTCCATGGGACCAGTTCATCTCTCCAAGACATTGAATATTGCTGCAAAAATTGATCTCTTCAGGTGCTCATGTATTTTTCCACAGTGTGTGATACATATAACACAATGTGTTCATCAACTACTTATGTTATTGGGGGTAAGTAAGGATTCTGGTCAAGAGTGGGCTATTTGCAGTTACGTTTTAAGGGAATCAAAAGTTATACACAGATTTTCCACTGTGAGGGAGTTTGGGTTCCTAATGCCCAAATTATTCATGGGTCAACTGTACAACAATTAATTCAAAACATGTAAGAATTAAACTCATCCTTAGAAGAGATTGGGTGCATTCAGGGTGGAATGGCCATGTACTAAATCCATGCTTAGAAAAAATCAGACACACATTTTGTGATCTTGGCTGGGCAATTGTTTCCTAGATAGGACATCAAGAATTCAAGAAACAGGCAGGCCCTCGGAGCCGGCCGAGCAGGCTCCCCCAGCCCCCCGCGCCTTGCGCCCAGGCAGCGAGTTCTCCGGGAGCGGCAGGGCTCCTGGGTCCGAGTGTGGGCCGGACTCATACCACCGCGATTCCCAGCCGAAAAGCGCGCAAAGAGCCAGGTAGGCCCCACCCAATCCCGGAGGCCAGG